TACAACAGCTAAAATCTGCCTACACTGGACGCGATCAAACGACCGTTGAAAACCATTTAAAATTTGTGTCAGCAGGTCATAAATAGAACCCAGCAGCAGCTTTCTGTCGGGGATTTGTTGCGCCGCGCCGCTCACGTCCGTAGACACGGTGTAACATTGGTTTTGCTTTGTTTCACAGAACTAATCGTTGCCTGGGTTGCGCACGTATATGTGGGCGGAGCTATCAAAATAGGGGCAAGACCCTTTTGGGGTAGGGGCGTGTTTGTTTTGGTGATTTCAAATATCAACATTGGCTACCAGAAATCACTTACTCTGCCTTTAAAGACGAAAACATTTCAATTCAGCGTTTTGAAAGCGCCAATGAAGCCGAGCTCATAATCCCACTAGGGAGAGATGCGTTTTCTTGCAAAGCCTGCAATTAAAACTGTTTAATTTCTCTTTCATTATAGACAAGAGCAGTATGTCACTTTCTGAGGACGAAAATGTTCTATTGTTTGATTTTCAGGCCAGTTTTGCATAATGTTAATTATACATGACATTTGCATACGAGAATGTGGAAAATATATAACCATCCAATCATGTGACTTACTGTACAATATTCCACTTATTGCATGATAGATTCACCAAATAAATAAATAAGTGCATGTTTGAATATTAATTTCAGTTCAAATTATGTTGTAATCTTACCTTAAAAATTAGTCTACAATGTAGCCTAAAAAACAGTCAACCAAGAGAATTGATATACAGTACAGCATTGTTATTGAAATTCTCCATATTCACTAGCTCATTACAAATATGAGACCACTGAATGTCACCATGGGCCAATCAGAATCGAGTATTCCATAGGACCGCACAAAATTGACCAATCAGAATCAAGTATTCCATAGGACCACACACAATTGACCAGTCAGAATCAAGTATTCCATAGGACCACACACAATTGACCAGTCAGAATCAGTATTCTATCAAAATATCAGGGGCAAGTTCAAGCTCAAACCAGTGTGCACCGTTTTGCTACGGTTTCCGGTTTGAACGACATGTTTCCTGGAAACGGTGTGCAACGGGTTTTGAGATGTGTTTTCTCTTGTTTGGTGGGTGTGTCAAACATGTCAGCCAAAAAACGTTTTGCACCGTTTTTGTCGGGGCTGAACGCAGCCCAGGTGACCAAAAGTAAAAATTGGAAAGCCGCAATGAAGGCATGTCTCACTTACGAAACATACACTACAACATCTAAAGCACGTACATTTTAACACTAAACAAAAGAAAAGACTGTTATTGTGTACTGTATGCATAATATATTTTTTTTGTTCAGTTTTTGCAGAGTTTTCCTTCACGTGTGTCATTGACCTCACGAGCACTCTAGAATACGATGGCTTCACCACAGGGTTCATGGAGTTCTACCAGAAAACGGTCAGTATCATGAAGAGAAAGCAGAGTTGATGTTATCGATTACCCAGTCTAAACCTGTCTGACGATGGTATTGCTGGTTCTCCAGGGGGAGCCGTATCTTGGGACACCGTACGCTATCATGATGTGCTACTGATGGTATAGCGCACTTCATCCTCTACCTGATGCTAATACACCGCATGTCAAACAAGTTTGTAAATTATGTCTACTCTGTACGCTATTCAGTACAGTAGTCAAAGATGTAAATGATATGTCTAGTCTGCCATTTTTTAAAGGTTGTTTCATGTTGTAAAATCTATGTTAAGAAGTTTTATTTAAGTAAAAATGGGTAAAAGGATTGAAATAACGTTTCGACACTATCTGGCAAGAACATGACATGAAAGTACATGCTGTGATGTTTAAAAGGAGGTGGATTTTCCTAAATGAGTGTTTCCTATCATCCCAGGCAACAATACCGCACACTGGGTCTTTTCTGGGCTGGATAGCTGTGCGCCAACATGATTGTGTTTGTACCTGGAATCGTGGTTGGTAAGTCAAAGTAAATAAACGATCACAAATTCCTGCTGAACATTACATAAGATGCTACTCAAATACGTTTTATATGCAGGTAAATATGGCTCCGAGATCCATCCTGCCTTCTGACTCAACATGCCTTTTCTGTTGGTGCCCATATGGGGAGCGGTTTCCTTGTTCTCCAGGCCAAGGGATATGCCTCTTGTGGGAGCATCCAAGGTGAAGAACCAGACACTGTTGACATTGGTCAGTGGTTAGTATTTTCTCTACAGAATCAGTAATGGTGCTTGTATCCATCAGGCTGAACGTGAGCAGAAAAAGCCTTGATCTGGCGCCCCCTGGATCTTCTCTTTGTTGTTTATCTAGTGGCTGCCATGGGATATCTTTAGAGGATTGGTAAGTTGGTGCTCACCATACGCTTGCGTATGATCTCCAAAATTAATTCTGTTGGGACAAAGAAATTCATATCTTTATCCATATAGGCCGTTCTTGATTGCCTGTTAGAAATCCTCAACAGATATGTGACAGAGTATGAACCAAGGATCCTGCGGGCTTCCCCAAAGTTACGGTGAGTACATTTTCACATACTCTCAAGTAATTACATTCAGTCAGTTTTAGGCCAACACATTCAGGCTTCTTAATAGCCTAAGCTTTATAGCATTAAGCTCCTCTAAATGACTGTACGGTAGGTATTACTCATCATTAGCACTCAATAAGGTGGGTGGCTTATTGTCACCTTGGGTAGTCCACAAATATCCCCTCTGTCTCAGCCCAAGCACAAAGGTATCAAGGGTACCTTTGTTTTTGTTTAGATTGGGGTTGTAGCTTGGTCAATAGGTTATCAAAAGTCCTTGTTCTAGCTGGAACCCTGGCACAATGGTGGCCCATCGATCAGGCAGGAGATGTGCTGTGACTTGATAAGCTAATCCCACCCATGAGTCCTGGCTGAGCCCCTCCATCAACCCAAACAAGGAGAGAGTGTGACATGTGTGGTAATGTGTTTGATAAGGAACGAGGGCGCGCCAACACGTATGTTTGTACAGAGGACAGAAACCTGCATCGATCGCATAATACCTGTGCACTCAGGTGCTGGTGAGAATATTTATATAGTATGTATAGGGCAGGGTAAATTCCTTGTAATGTTTCTACTGAAATTCCAATTCAACATCTGTGACTGATTCCATTCTAATTGCAACTCACAATTGAAAGTGCTTACTTTATATATAAAACAATAGTGTATATTATTTTATACATAAAATTATGTATATTTAATATTTTATTTTAAATGTATATACATGTATTTAAATGTATAAATGTACATGTATAATATATATTATAGTATATATATATATACTGTATATATATATATATATATATATATATACAGTATATATATATATACTATAATATATATTATACATGTACATTTATACATTTAAATACATGTATATACATTTAAAATAAAATATTAAATATACATAATTTTATGTATAAAATAATATACACTATTGTTTTATATATAAAGTAAGCACTTTCAATTGTGAGTTGCAATTAGAATGGAATCAGTCACAGATGTTGAATTGGAATTTCAGTAGAAACATTACAAGGAATTTACCCTGCCCTATACATACTATATAAATATTCTCACCAGCACCTGAGTGCACAGGTATTATGCGATCGATGCAGGTTTCTGTCCTCTGTACAAACATACGTGTTGGCGCGCCCTCGTTCCTTATCAAACACATTACCACACATGTCACACTCTCTCCTTGTTTGGGTTGATGGAGGGGCTCAGCCAGGACTCATGGGTGGGATTAGCTTATCAAGTCACAGCACATCTCCTGCCTGATCGATGGGCCACCATTGTGCCAGGGTTCCAGCTAGAACAAGGACTTTTGATAACCTATTGACCAAGCTACAACCCCAATCTAAACAAAAACAAAGGTACCCTTGATACCTTTGTGCTTGGGCTGAGACAGAGGGTATATATATATATATATATACTATTTGTGTAATACTTAATTGTTATAAATATTAAAATATTAGTTATTTTAATTTTATTAATTATTATTTATTTTTGTAATAAAATATTAAATAGATGGTATTTATTACCATTTTTATGTTTGAATTTTCATTTTATTAATCATTATTTATATTTATACCCAAATAGCTGCTTTTTCTATATTTATATTAGGTTATAGGTTGTATAAGTAAATTTTTTATTACACATATTTATACACAAACACACACACACATTTAATACACAATAAATAAACGGAACTTATAATAAATAAATGAACTATAATTCTATAAACTCATAAACACACTTCAATATATATATACACTACCGTTCAAAAGTTTGGGATCAGTAAGATTTTAAATATTTTTTACCGAAGTTTCTTGTGCTAATCAAGGCTGTATTTATTTGATCAAAAATACAGAAAAAATTTGGTTTTGAGACTTTAGTCTTTGCAACTTTACAGATCTTCTTTATGCACCAAGAGCTTGTAACACTCCAAAGAGAAAGGAAAAATTGAAATCGCATCATATGACCCCTTTAAAATATTTATTTGTAACTTGATATACATATAAAATAAGCAGTTACACAGATATATTTTAGTAATTTATAGTTAAATATACATATCTAAAGATGTATCTGAATTTCTGGGCAAACATGACTTTCACAGCTTGTTATGACTTTCTTGAAAGACACCATGTGCCGTGCAACACAACCAGGCTCTGTTTAGGGTCTAATCATGGGTAATGTGCCCATGTTTGTGTTTTTAAGCCTCAATAAGTATGAATGATTGTGTGAACTCAATGCAGTCGGGCCGATCTGTATTCAGCGGGAGTGCATTGCTGCGGCAGCGCTGGTGCCCTTGGGGATTGAGTTGGACTGCATTAATTTGCCATCAAAGCACTGGTGTGTAGAGGCAAGGCGTGTAGTGTTGACACACAGATTGAAATAATACTTGTTGCACGATGTCTTTTCGTCTCCAGATCTTGCTGCTCCTGTTCCATGCGCTTCCAATGCTGGGTTCATTTGCATATGGGCTTTGCACACCTGGCTGCACTTGGATGCTTGATTGGACGGTATATTTTGCAGGTTTCATTTTACAGGTAAGACATGAAAAATGTCTCCAATATTTAGTCAAAGCTGTGAGAAGAGAGCAAGAAAACATCTGTTAGAAACTGTAAATTCTATGTCTAAGGTTCAAGTTAGAAACAACCATTGAGGTATACTGTATTTCCTCCATAGTTTCGGGCAGAATCTAGAGATTTCTGTCTACTGTATGCTGATGTTATAGAAAGGCACCATCAAACAGTATCACGATCAAAGCCTTGGTCTGAACAAGCTCATCCAGCACCCCTTTAATTCCCAGTATGAGGCCTGAGCAGTCAGCATTCCTAATCAAAGACCTCCAGTAGAACAGGACTTCACTGGAGTTTCAATGTAGATCTCCAGCTCGACATACTAATGAACGCCTCCTCAAAGCTGAGAGGACGTCATTGCAGTCCATTCATCTCTACTTACCCATAGGCAGAGAGGCCTCTAAAATACATTACAAGGTCTTGGATGAGACCTCATTGTGCCCTTATCATTGAACTTTACAAAAGTACAATATAAAACTAGATTCTTGGATTTCATTAAGGGAATATGAGTGGTGTTTGGCTGTAGAGAACTTGCAGCCACAGTCCTAGGATTTGTGTTGGTATGTGGGTGCTATGGGGTGTGTTAGCCAACTATGATCGCAAGTTTCGTCATTACCAACATAGTCCAATGATTCAGTGTTTCCTGAAATCATAGTTCCAATGAACATTCGCAAACAGTATCATAAACAGGCATGATTGGAACTACAGCTCTCAGCAGTGGTTAGAAGCATGGCATATTGTTTGACATGTGGACTTAGATTGTATACACACCACCGTTTCTGAATAGTGGACACGTGAATAAATACATAAGCCAGCGGTGTCCAATCCTGATCCTGGAGAACCGCTGCCCTGCAGAATTTAGCTCCAATTCGATTTAAAGGGATAGTTCACCATAGTTCAGTACTTACTCTCATGTCGTTCCAAACCCGTAAGACCTTCGTTCATCTTCAGAACACAAATTAAGATATTTTTGATGAAATCCGAGAGCTTTCTGACTCTGCATAGACAGCAACACAACTGACACGGTCAAGGCTCAGAAAGTTAGTAAGAACATTGTTAAAATATTCCATCAGTGTTTCAACCTTAATTTTATGAAGCTACGAGAATACTTTTTTTGTGCGCAAAAAAACAAACAAAAATAATGACTTTATTCAACAATTACTTCTCTTCTCCTCTCTTCTCCTCTCCTCTCCTCTCCTCTCTTCTCTTCGGTGTACATTCACAACAGTACCATGATGCATGCGTTTGCATTCCTTTCCTTGCAATCAAGGCGCAGCGCATCTGGTTTCTGTCAAAACGCCAGAACATGCGTCGTGGTACTGTAGTAAACGTACGTTGAAGACTGACACGGAAGAGAAGAAGAAGTTTTCATTGCACACAAAAAGTATTCTCGTAGCTTTATAAAAGTAAGGTTGAACCACTGATGGACTATTTTATCGATGTCCTTACCAACTTTCTGGGTCTTGAACGTGTCAGTTATGTTGCTGTCTATGCAGGGTCAGAAAGTTCTCAGATTTCATCAAAAATATCTTAATTTGTGTTCCGAAGATGAACGAAGGTCTAACGGGTTTAGAATGACATGAGGGTGAGTAATTAATGACAGAATTTCCATTTTTTGGGGTGAACTATTCCTTTAAGCAACGAGTTATGTCATTGTATGGGAAATGCACCCCTAGGTGGTTGTGTTTTGGCTCAAGTCAAGGTGACCAAAAGTCCTTCCCTCAATTTAGTGGATTTTTTCACCTGTTTTTTCATTTACCAGGTGAAAATTGTCTTATCGATTATATAAAACTCTCACCCACAAAAACAACATCTTGTGCTTCTGTCCACCACAGTGCCAGTGGTCTCATGCTGGAGCGTCGCTGCACCCACGCACGGCAGAAATGTACAGGATTCCCGTCACAACCCCGGTGCCCGTCCTCCTCCTCAACCTGCTGTATGCGGCCGGTCCTGTACTTCTTAATGAGAAGAAATTAAATTAAATCGATTGAAAAAAAACATACAAAAAAACATTGACCTTGAAGGAATAGTTCACACAAGTATTGAAGTTCCGTCATCATTAACTCATGCTGGGTGAACTATTCCTTAAGAAAGAGTGCATTTAAAATTGTGTTAAATCGGCACAGCTGTGTTCCAGTGGGTTCCTGTTAATTTGGTAATCATGTAGGTTACAGGACCTTGCTTTTGAAACGTCTTGATTGTGTCACTTACCAGAGCTACGGCTGTTACTGAATTCCTCAGGAGAAAAACAACTCTAAATCGCAAGAAGTCGAGATCATTAAACCACGGCTTGTTCTACCTGTCTTGAGACAACAAGACCTTTAACACTGCAGTTTATTAGCCTTCTGTCCTTCACTGTAAAAATCTCATGTGCTGCAACTAGAGGTCTCTTATTACGGTGTATTTTCCTAGTTCTATCCATCTGTTCCACACAAATTTCACATTTACATCTTAAATGTAACACATGCCAGAACGTTCTCTTGAATAATTGACTGGTCTCATAGGTAATAAAATATTATCCTACAAGATCTTCATCTGGATACGCTGTATGTACATGATCAAGTCAGCAGGGTTGAGTTCTACAACTACTAACCTTAAAAGCAATCCTTGCTCAGCAGCTTTTTCATGCTGATGAGGAGCAACGCACAAAATTTCTGCTTGCACACACAAACAGCGCTCTGTGTGGCATCAAATCAGTTCCAGTGGAATTAGTACAGAAATCTGTCAAGCCTAGCGGATAATTTCGGGCGAATTCCAAACGGCTTTTTTGCGCCCTTGAAGGGCACTTCGGGAAGGGGGCGCCATTTGTAGGGACGTTCCAAACGAAAGTGAACAACTGAATCCCTTCACGAAGGGCCCTTCCAGAAGGGAACATGCGATGGTCACTTCACAGAAGTGATTTCGGTTTGTGATCATGTGATCTTCAGTTAGGAGATCTTGCAATCTTTTCTTAGGAGATCTTGCAATGCTTTTTAAAGTAAAGTTGGGGTTGATTTCGACTTCACATACTAACGAAAATAGAATAGGCTAATTAAATTTGTCTATTTTAATGTAAGACAAAATATTTTTTCCTCAGTGATAGAAATATGATTTAAGACGGTAGTGTAAGCAAGTTTAAGCACGTTTCGTTTGAAAAATTCATTTCAGTGTTGACATATGTGGAGGTCATAATGTATTATATTAGAAATTTCAGTATAGGGGAAACTAGGGGTAATTAGTGCCTTTTTCCTCCAATGAATATTTTTCAGGTTTGGTTTATTTTTAAAAAGTCAGTTATAAATAAGCTATTGAACACATTGAAAATTGTTGATACAGTTCATTGAACACATATACTTACAGCAATAGTTGTCACAATGAAATGAATAGGCCATTAAACAGCCTTTGCCTTTCAATACAACTGAAACCTATAAAAAGATTTAAGAAACTGTAAAAATGCAGAATTTTATATACAAAAATGATCAAATCACTGTTTTGGCCAACAATGTAATGTAACTAGCTATAACACTTAAAACGTGTCAACTCACCATTTTATTCAAAATATCTGTCAAAGGATCCAAATACTGTAACAAAAACATACGAAATAAGTAGTAATAAAGGAGAAGTCAAGCTTTGAATGGAAAAACAAAATATTACACATATTATTGTAATTAATTGCAATAATGTGTAAAATTGCTCAAAAAATAAACTGATTAAAAAAATCAATAAACCCATATGAAGAGTTTATTTGCAAAAACAGATAATGCCGTTTTTAAAAAATGTTCAAAAATCATGTTTTTTTAAAATCCTGCATTCCAATTAATATCAATCAAACTGCAGCTGGGTTGTTTTGATTAAATAATAACAACTAAAGAAATACAGCTAACTAACACAGTAAAAACATGATAACACAATAAAACATTATTTATGAAAATTAATAAAAACGGAGTTATCTGTTTTTTTTGCAAAGAAACTCTTCATATAACTTATAGGCTAGTGCATTAGTTATGGATACTTAGCCTAGCATACTAAATGGCTTCTTGCATTAATTCGCAAAGTCTAGTCATTTTAGTCTCAGTATCTTATAAATACTTACCAGCAGTCACTACGTGCTAAATTAAAATGTAATTGTAACTTTTAGAGCAGGAGAGAGAAAAAAAAAATGTTTTGATTAAATAATAATAACTAAAGAAATACAGCTAACTAACACAATAAAAACATGATAACACAATAAAACATTATTTATGAAAATTAATAAAAACGGAGTTATCTGTTTTTTTGCAAAGAAACTCTTCATATAACTTATAGGCTAGTGCATTAGTTATGGATACTTAGCCTAGCATACTAAATGGCTTCTTGCATTAATTCGCAAAGTCTAGTCATTTTAGTCTCAGTATCTTATAAATACTTACCAGCAGTCACTGCATGCTAAATTAAAATGTAATTGTAACTTTTAGAGCAGGAGAGAGAAAAAAAAAAGCTTTGGAGGATGCGGGCATCGATCCCGCTACCTCTCGCATGCTAAGCGAGCGCTCTACCATCTGAGCTAATTCCCCTTCCGGTACACTACATCTGGTATGCAAGTATGTAACATAAGTCCGAAACTCTACTTAGCTCTCTTTTAACATTCCCTCTCACAGTACATTTATTAATTATAGACCAGATACGACATTATATTATCATAGTTTCACGACACAATACACTCTATTTATCAGATATCCAGTCTCAAAACCTACTTGCCAGTTCACATAATGAAAGGGTCTGAAGTAGTTAAAAATAAGTTAAGGTTATTCGAGTTTACATATTCACGACAAAGTTACTAAATAAACTACTGAGTAAAGCTACAAACATTGAGTCTGCGAATAAATTCGCACAATCTGCAACATACGCAACCGTAAACAAAGCTAGCTATACAAAATAAGTTACAACTTAAAAGTACACCGTCCGATAAAAGACGAGGAACCCTCTTTGTTACCACCAGTATATCAGCCTAGCACTAAGAGCTTTTCTTCAGTCGTAGTGTAAATGAGAGTCTTCCAGTGCTGACACCGTCAGCTGCAGTGTGATGAGACGCGACAGACGACATCTGCAGTGAAACCGAGTCAGAACCGGGACAGCTGCGCCGGAACGCCTGTCAGTGCACTGGAGCAATATTACTTCATATTACCCTCTCAACATAAAACGCGTCCTCTCATGATGTTGGTGAGTTCAGACTGCATGTGTGTGGGTTTTACTACGGTAACCTTGATAATGCGCAGTGCATTGCGGTAGGGGATGCTCAAAGATGCTGTAAGGGGAGTTGAGGATGATGATGATGTATGATTCCGTTGTGTCGTCTATATATAATGTGTTTGGGCTGGTTTCAGTGCTGCATAGTGTGTGTATGTGTGGTCTGGATCATGTTACACAAAAGAAGATGGGAAAAAGGCCTACATTTGTAAAGCAATTCTGTATGACTTCGTTCAGACAGCAGACATCTGATTATTTTGCCATAACAGATTTCTAGACTCTACCTAATGTTTGCAAAACGGATCCAAACCACATTCATATGTATCATGCTGGTATATACATCATTATAAATGCAGTAGATTTAGATCAGATATTGCCCACATTGTTTGATTTAGTCAAAAATGAACAAAACCAAGCTCATCTGTGTGCAATGTGCCATTGTTCTGTGTGTGTGTGTGTGTGTGTTTTTAAAGATCTTGTGCTTGGAAACCATTACCTGCACGCTGTTGTTCCTTTCACCCTTTGTGACCACCTACCCAGCTGACTTGGAGAAAGGACGGAGGAGAGTGGTTCATGTAATGGGTAAGAACTTCTTCTGTGCCGCTTTATACCAGGTGTCCCAGATCACAATGTACATAAGGCAAATCTGCAAATGCAGCGTAAGCAGAAGAAGGTTATGATACCTACCGACAACCGCCTACTTGTAGAAAAACGTTTTGCAACTCTGTTAAACATGCAACCAACAAATAAATACCATTATTGTGTAAGTGCAGTGATATTCAGAGCACTTAATGTAAATTTTGACAGTCAGAGACCACTCCACCCACGAGAGTGATCTTCAGTGTATAACCTCACTTTGCAAGTTCAGTGTCAGTCCACCAGTGGTATTAAAAGAAAATCTCTTACGATCCCCAACTGAAGTGGCTACTCGAAGCTCAAGTAGGATTTAAAAGCAATATGCAACATCTGATAGTTGTTGCATATTTATATTGCAGGTAAACTTTATAATCAGTTTTAAGTCAACTAGGTCGCATTTCTTCATTTGGTATTCATTTTTATGTAAGCAAGAAAAAAGGTCATTAATTGAAGCTGTTGCACTAGCTGTCTTCTAACAGCATGGTCCCAACATTTACTTGGCAGCTGCAAATTACTTTCAAAAAGTCTGTGGTTACAGTGACATTGCTTTCAGTTTAGACCCTTTGCTTCGGATGAAATACTGGTTCTTTGGCTGTCTCTGGCTGAATTAATGATTTGACGTTTGGCAACCCTGCTTTCAAAAGAAAAGGTGTTGTGGTAACAAACATTTCAGAGTGCCAGGTATCCAGCTGACAGTTTAAATGAGCAGATGTCAAAGCTGATTACGGCCCTTGAGGTCTGTCCGGAAAATCTTGGATCGCTATCAGAGAAGGTATTGTTTGATAGCTGTGTTTCACACTTTTAAGACTTGGTGGCTTGGAGATCCAGCTATGCTTCAAGTGCCTTTGAGCAGCCTTCAGACAAAAGCAAAGGATTCTGTGGGAAATAAAAGAAAAGGTGAAGGATTTAAGCATTTTCAATGTCTTTTTTAATGCCATAGTTATTAATTTTTCTTAGCTGGTTTTAAGATCAGATGCTTATTTAGCGCAACAGGTAAAGCTAAGGTACTCAGCAAGAGGGCCGCATCTGCATTACAGTTGGCACTCTTAAAGGATATTCATGCAATATGCAGATTTTAGATTGATGTGACGTGTCGGTTCACTCAATTGAAAGGGACACAGCACAAAGAATACTAAAAGATTTGGCTATATTTGAAATGAAAATGACCCTATTTGCATATGAACTGCATGAAAAATAAAAACAAAAAAAATTGCATAGTTTTCCACAGTCCCATAAAGTTAATTTTCACCCAAACCTTATTCGGCAAAGTCTCAAAACCTTTAAGAAAATTTTAGTTAAAAATAGGGTAAATTCCAGTCAAATTGACAGTCAGTCTCAAATGTAAAAAATTCAACTGAAATTCATATTCAAATATAATTGCAACACTTTGAATTTAATTCGGTTTGAATGTGGCCCTGCTGAAGTTTCTGAAGGTGCTAGGAACTCAAAAGTTATGGGACTGATTCCCAGGTACACACTGATAAGGATAATTCATAGAGTGTAAAGTGGAAACTTCTTTCTCTTTTTCCCTAGAGGATGATACAGGGGCAGTGATAGTCCAGACTGCTCCAGGTAAGGTGGTCACTCATCGCGGTGGCACTATCACCCTTCCCTGCCGTTACCACCATGAACCAGAGGACGTCGACCGTAATCGCATCCGCATAAAATGGACGAAGGTTTCCGATGCTTTCCAGTTTGAAGACGTGTTTGTAGCGCTGGGGCGACAACAGAAGACGTTTGGGTCCTACCGTGGTCGAGTGTCTCTGGAACGGGCAGGGCCAGGAGATGCTTCAGTTATTATTCACAACATCACCTTGCAAGACTACGGCCGCTACGAGTGTGAGGTCACCAATGACATGGAGGACGACACGGGATTTGTCAATCTAGACCTTGAAGGTCAGGGAACTGGTCTTGGTTGTAGTAACTAAGGGTGCTTTCACACCTGGCCTGTTGTTTCGGAACCTGGCATGCTTCCCCCCCCTTAGCTCGGTTCGTTTGGGCATATGTGAACATGGCAATCGCGCTCGGATCCGCACCAAAACAATCGGTCCGAGATCGCCTGAACAAGGTGGTCTCGGCTCGATTGAAAACGAACTCTGGAGCGCGTTCGGTTGTAGTGAGAAAGCAATCTGATCTAACGGACCAACGAACTAGGCTATATCACGATGTATGATGGGTAATTACGTAAGTTCCATGAAAAGCATCAGCTTTGTTGTTTTGCAAATACCTCAAAATGAACCTGTGAATGTCTGTGGGTGAGCACGTCTTCGCCATTCAAAATCAAAGCGCGCTTTTTCATTTTATAATGCCGTCTTATTGCTCTTCTTTGTAGTAGGTGCATTTTAAAAATGTTTTCCCGATGAATCCTGGACTCATAATCATAATCCTGGATCATAAAATGATAAATTAATATAACGACAGCTACAAAAAAACCCCCAACAATAAGCCCACAAAGCTGTTGTCGTTCTATCCTGATTGATAACAGCTATGAGTGGAATCCCGGAAAATAAACGGTGGAACTTTGACCAATGAGAGAACAGTTTACTCTCACGTGACTTGTATTAACAAATTTGGCCCGTTTAGAAACTTTGCCGTGTGAAAGCGAACCGCACCAAGAATAAAAAGCAACATTGTAATAATTTTAATGTGTTCCCATACTACCCTCCATCCGGACGCTACAAGCTGAACTACCACCAGGCAGAGGAAGTGTGCCGACAGCAAGATGCAATTCTGGCCTCTCATGCGCAACTCCACAAGGCTTGGCTTGAGGGGTTGGACTGGTGCAACGCCGGCTGGTTAGAGGACGGCTCGGTCCAGTACCCCATCTCTCATCCTCGAGACCAATGTGGCCACAAGGATAGCCCTCCCGGGGTCCGCAACTATGGCTATAGGCACAAAGAAGATGAACGCTATGATTCTTTTTGCTTTACCTCAAACCTCAACGGTGAGTGTTTACCTAGGTTGGAATTGCTTATTAGAGATCTTTTCCGGCCTGAGGCTGTTGGACCAGGTTCCTGTTGAGAAGGTCCTCCTGCTTCTCCTTTCACTGCCTTCCGTTTGATACCTATCCAATAAATGGTGCCAGTGCCACAAATGAAGGAGTCTTAACTGAGCAATGCATCAATTCCTGGAAAATTGGCCAAATCAAATCAGATTTCAGGGAAACTATGATTTAGTACAGCTTCTGGGGTGCAGAGTCACTTTGTGACCATGCGGGAATATTAGGCGTTTGCACAGTTGATTTTGTCTTCAGGAAGAAAACGGTATTTTTGGCCCTGGTTCAGACCATTTGTTACTAAGTGCTGTATGATCCAGTGGGTACACAAGACTTGCCCAGTTCTTCAGACCCACTCACAGTCAAGTCATTGAGAGCCAAAAGGCTTTTCTTTTGTCCCCCAAGTGGGCTATTGGAGAGGACAGTTTGTCCTGAAATTTTTATAGCTAGGGCAATTTTCAATAATACCCCTACACTGACCAGCTGAAATTTAGTGAATGGCCCAGTGGGAAATATGAGACAATGTGCTGCCCTAACAGTCAGCCGTCACATAAACAAACAGAAAATCAATGAATGACTTCTGAAAAACTGGTGGTGGTCTGAAATATTTAAAATGCATTGCTATTTCATCATGATGAAGGCAGGCTTTGAAATCATGATCCAAATTTCGAGATCTTCCGCAGTGAAATGTCTACTTTCCGGAAGAATTTCATTAGCATTTTTGACGAAACATTCAACTGGAACATTTTTCTTTCTGTGCTACTCCAGTGAGTCAGACATTTATGGCAAGCTGTTGTATAGTCTTCTCACAGCTTTTGTTGTTTTTCATAAAATTGTGTTTCTCTTGCAGGACGTGCTTACTTCCTCAAACGTTTTAAGAAGGTAAACTACCTCGAGGCAGTAAAGGCATGTCAACGTGACGATGCAGTGATTGCCAAAGTTGGACAACTATACGCCGCATGGAAGATCCAGCTCTTGGACCGTTGTGAGGCGGGCTGGGTGGAAGATGGCAGCATCCGTTACCCCATCGTCAATCCTCGGGCCCGCTGCGGGGGCCCAGAACCTGGTGTCCGAAACCTAGGTTTCCCTGATAAAAAGTTCCGCCTCTACGGAGTCTACTGCTTCCGCAGGAACACTGATGTCCAGTCAACACAGGCTCCAAAAGAAACCACAACCAAACCGGCTAACAGCACCAGAAGCATCTGAAAGTGCACAATACTAGTTACTAGCATCATGGCTTCTGTGTTTGACAGACAAGGCTTTTTGCACACCTGCTAGGCTTGCGCTGAACTCGGGGCATAATTGAGCTTGTATAATTTCACACACTTGCTTGAAATGAGGTGTCAGTCATCTCTAAATTGAGAAAGTCAGCAACTTTTCTCCTCAGAGACATTAGTTTCGCCGTATACCCTGCATGCAGAATTTAGCCTTCAGGTTTTCAATTTGTTTTATTTTGCTGTTTCCCAGGGACAAAAGACAAAAGACAAAAGTGACTTTAATTAGCGCTAAGAAAGCAGGAAAGCTAATTTAGCCTTATAATGAGTATAGCACATTAGCAATAGCCCTCAATGACCTGATGATGAGAAAGTGATAATGGACAAAACTTCATCAGATGCTAGCATGAACTGGCTAGCTTGGCTGGGCTTAGCTTGCTTATTAAAATGAACTTTCACAGTTGTTGCCATCCAAGCAAGTAGCAAAACTGATTAGCTGTGCCAATTACTATGCACATAACACTAGACACTCATTTTTGATACGTTTTGAATGACCTTGCAAGCAATAACAGAATTAGGCATGACATTTTCTAGATGTTTATTACAGTGATAAAGCTAAAATATTGTGAATGGCAGACTTACATCAGCTGCTTTACTACTTCTTAGTGGTTGATTGCACTGTCCATTCAGTATTGCACAATATTGTCTATGATGATGCATTTTAGATTAAAGTTATTTACCTGTTCGCGTTTGCCTGTCAATTTTCTAAACGACTGTGGATGCAGGGCACAGAATTGCTTGTAAACACAAAAGCTTGACCTCTGACACAAAAAGGGAAGGAAAACCTGATGTCACCGGTAACCATGACGATATATGGATGAATATGGCTCTAACAAATTGCACATTGCTATTTTGGTTTGTCTTGGGCACAAGCTCCCGGCGATGCTGCACTTTGTGTCTACAGTCTGCAAAACACTTGAGAAAATGTTTGTTGCTTTGCCAGAATCACATATGTGACCCTTACATTTCCATAGTAACAGCTATAATGAGGCCTCATGAATTTCAAAGAAAAGCAACAGTCATTTGTTAAACTGCTGATATTAGGCTGTTTACTCTGATAGGTTTTATTATATGCTCAGCATTTCTGGTTGTATTTAGCACCCTGTAGCCAATTTTAATGCAAGATTCTAAACATTTTAAACAATACAGAAAAAAACACAACTCTGAACATTATATAATGAGTACTAAACTATATACAATACTATTTCTTAGAAACACAAAAACTGCTTAAAAACAGTAAACGACAGTAAAAAGCTAACTTCTGTTAGAAATTGGCATTATATCACATATGTTGTGGTAGTCTCATGAGAAGAAGATGGAGTATAAAAAGACAATCTAAATTTTTTCTTCTCTTTAGATGGTTGCATTATCTTTCATTGGATAGATTTAATCTTCCCTCAACATGAAAAAGTCCAAATTAATTGACCCTTAACAACTGAGCAAGTCCTCTTGGGCAAACCGAACTGAATCAGATCTCAAAAGGTGCCATATTTGTCTAATTTCTTACCTGCTGACAGGAAAAAACTAAGTGAAAATTGAACACTCAGACATCATGTACTATCCAGGCACAAGGTGTCAAATCATTTGCTCATCTATTCTGAAAGCGAAAATGCTGTGCGATTTGAAAGGAAGTCTATCTGTTAGCATTCCCATCTCAGCAGGAGCTAACAGAGACAAACCCCTTGGTTAAGACAGTGTTAATCACATAGAAATCAAGTCATAATGATTCTTGTATAAAAGATAATACATACATATGTAACGGAGGCCAGCTAGTAAGTGCTGTCTAGATAAACCTCATTCCCATGATCTCAAAGCATGATCTGATGCTAGAGGCTATGGTCTTTAGCATCCTTGTTAGCATGCTCACTTTCCATGCTGGAAACACTGGTTCAAATCCTGCTCTGAGGGAGGTGAGTAGAACTGGAGGGGTTACACTGGTGCCATGATCTGGATTGAAAGTGATGTTTAGGGGGGTGAGGTGTAATGTCCTTGTTAGCGAGCCCACCTCCCATGCCGGAAACCACAGTTCGAATCCTGCTTGGAGTGAGCAAGGCAAGTATAACCGGAGGGGCTATACATAAACTGAAAAGTAGGGCTGTCACGATTCCTCGATTCAATTCAAGTACTCAATTCTAAAAAAAAAAAAATTGACTGCAATTTGCCTGTGTCGAGTAAACGGCAAAATACCGGAAGTGGCGCATTCCACGGACGTGAATCCATAAAACGCATTATTAGACCATTTTCCAAGGCTGCATGATATATTAAACCCATTTAAAAATCATAATAAAGCATAATGCTATTGTGAATTCACAAATGCTACAATTCAATTAAATAAATATATGCGATGTAGGTTTAATATATGCGCTTTCATTTTTAGTTGTGTAACGTTACATGTGTGTCAAAGTGGCTGCATTGACAGTAAATGCTGCTCCACACCAACTGTTATCATTTACATGTGTGGAGCGTCTCAAACTCCATCTCTGCATATTGTTGCGAGTTTGGGTTTATTATAACGTTCATCTGGGAACACCGTGCACCATTTCATCAGATTTTTAAGGTAAACCATTTTTAAACCTATGCTAACACGGGAATACATCTCAACATGCTAACTGTTCATCGCTATTTCAAAATAAAAAAATAAACCTTCACTCTGAGTTTACACGTTTTGATATCCACATATTCAAGAAAAAAAAACATGATTACACTGTAATTATTTTAATTCTATAAGAATTGGGAAATCCACACCACAGTTATAACAACAATGTCACAGAGGAACAATATAGTTGGAATTACCTCAAGAACGTACTGGTAAATCAGAATCCACCCAACTTTTCAATATTTAATGTGGAAGATGAAATATTTGCTGCATGTGATTATGATAAAACTTCTGTTGGTGTAGACCTAGATTGTTCTTGGCATTCCAAATCATAATATTGTAAAACAGCATGCCAAAATTGCATCTTTTTTTCCAGTGGATTTTTGAAGTTTGAATTTACTTAAGCCTTTTCGGTTAAAATGGCAAAAAACCCTTTGTAAGAAAAGGTTTATGATGGCTTTCTGTTAAAGAACAGTCGAGGAAGGCAAAACTGCAGCTGCCTCAACAGTTTTAAACCCAAAAGTTACAACATAAGTTTAAAGTAAAGAATTATCTAGACCAGGGATCCTCAAATCTGGCTCGCAAGATCTACTTTCCTGTAGATTTTAGCTCCAACCCTGATCAAACTCACCTACCTGTGATTTTCTAATGATCCTGAAGACATTGATTAGCATCCTCAGGTGAGTTTGATCAGAGTCGAGTTTGGGTTTATTATAACGTTCATCTGGGAACACCGTGCACCATTTCATCAGATTTTTAAGGTAAACCATTTTTAAACCTATGCTAACACGGGAATACATCTCAACATGCTAACTGTTCATCGCTATTTCAAAATAAAAAAATAAACCTTCACTCTGAGTTTACACGTTTTGATATCCACATATTCAAGAAAAAAAAACATGATTACTTGCTTTTGATACTTTATTTGAACTAATTATTGTTTCATTGCTATTATAGATGTATTTTAAATACCATTGTTCACTTAGGTCTATTTTTTTTTTACCACAAAAAAATGTATTATAATTATTCGATTACTCGATTAATCGTCTGAATAATCAACGATTACTCGATTACCAAAATAATCGCTAGTGACAGCCCGACTGAAAAGCTTTGCTGGTCTGGCTGTAGGAAATATTGACCAATATGATCGTGGACTGACGGGATTTTGCTTATTTGCATTTGAAGTATCTTCAATGACAAGACTTTCGGAACAAACAGCTATACAAATAGGAAAAATGTTACATATTTGCAAGATCTGGCTCATTGCATCCTTCACGCAAACACTCCAGTCTCGTCAAGCTAATATGTCTAGCCATTCTTCTTGTGTAAACTTTGAGAATGCTGTATTATGTACACAATGCTTTACATAGTAATTGGCTGAAGTGTTTGTAACATTGATTGGCTTATTTCAGCGGGTAATGAGTCGGTGCATACAAAGGCTCTGCTTAGTTGAATAAGCCTCCAGCAGTGAACAGTGAGCGTTTGCTGTTTGTTTAGACCCTGTGATGCTGCTGATTTTTTCCGATTGGAAGCGGCTGTAGGTACAGATCAAGAGCGAACATGCTGCTTTTGCTCGATGGTCTGTGTTGAGAGAACTCAGACTGAAGTGAAAAAGAAAGGGTAGAAGGTTAATGCAACTGTTCAGAGCATTTATTCACTGTGAGCTCTTGAACATGACACAAAAAGAAAAATAATTTACATGTCCAGTTTGTGTTAAAAACAAAGTGTGGTGTAAATGTTTGTTCTACCTGAAAAAACAAACAGTGAATTTCCATGCTTAGATACTAGAAACAGTGATGTAAGCAAGATAAGCTATGAGCAAAATAGACATTGCATCTCAATTTGCACACTATCCATCCTAAACATATCCAAATTGAATTAAGTGCCATTCACACCAAGGATGATAACTGTAATTATTTTAATTCTATAAGAATTGGGAAATCCACACCACAGTTATAACAACAATGTCACAGAGGAACAATATAGTTGGAATTACCTCAAGAACGTACTGGTAAATCAGAATCCACCCAACTTTTCAATATTTAATGTGGAAGATGAAATATTTGCTGCATGTGATTATGATAAAACTTCTGTTGGTGTAGACCTAGA